TGCATACAATGAACTCCTGACTAGTTGCATTCCTTTAAGTCTTCCTACCAATATGACCAAGTTGCGAAAACAAGGTCAAACAACTTCTGTACAACGAAAGTAGACTGCGACCATACAGGGGGCCACACCATCTTGGTCTTCTTATCTTCGATTACTTTAGCTTTGGTTTAGTACTACCACCAGAGACTAAGATTACTGTCTTGTCTTTTAGATCAACCTGTATTTTAAACGAATATTGGGCATCTGGAATCCGCCGTCGTCACCAAATCAAATTGACGTTAAAATCTCCTCCCTATACTCTGTTACATGAAACAAAATACGCTCACTAAAGTCAATAATTCTGTCAAAAACCGATGATTTACCTGAAGCTACCGCTAGACTGGTTGTCCATTAGTCATCCTGTATATCTTTAAACGCAAATGGAAGCTTTTGGAGGTTCTCGAAGCCTATAAAGCAGCTACCATATCGGATACCAGTAAGGTACACTATCCCCCCGTTTCCGTCCAATAAGAAAGAGCCCTGCGTATATTTTGTTGGTTAATTGATCCAGTAAAAATATGTGCTGTTGCATATAATATAGATGCGTTTGAAGGGTTGTTATCTATTGTCTCTTAGACCTTTAAGTTCTTGAGGATGCTGTATGGAAGATTGACCTCATCGAAAGCCGAAGGAGGATTACTTTAGAGCTGTTGCTGTAGACTTGTGCAAATAAACCGTCATGGGATGGACATCTTCATAGTAGGACATTATTCCCGAAAACATGAAAAGTCTTCTCTCCGCAGATATCCGCTGTCACCTCTCCAAGGTAATTCTCCTTCAGCTTCCAGAGATGCCGTCTACGAGTCTGTTCCACTTGTCTCTCGAAACGAAACGAAAGGTACGCCAACATCAATGTACCAACGGATTCTGCGAGGCCCAGCTTCTCATTGTTTAATTAATTTCTTGCCCTGCTTTATGCTTACAGATAAGTAATGTTGATACGAATGAGGTCGATAATTTCATTTGTGTATGTGTGTCCTGGTATACGGTTGTACTGTCTATACCTTAATCCTGCATCATTTTAGCCTCAATGATTTTTTAGCTCTACTAGACTGGGTTTCCATTGAGATAGAAATTGATAGATTTTGTAAGCAATCCCCTTCGCCTGCTCTCTTTGGAAATATTAAGCTACAGGACCTGATAAGAGAGCAAGAGTTATGCCGGCATAGACCTATAACTCGATTGGCTTCAGCTGGTTCTACTCGGTGAACTCGGTATTGGAAAATCTCCCAAGGCAATAGCCAAGAAGGTACTGGAATGACATTTTTAGGTCCGAGCAATAAGAAGTAAAAACAAGGCGAAGCGGTTAGCAAGACCTCTGCAGGCAGATCTTTCAACTTGGCGAAAGTATGTAAAAGCGGACAGTATTGCATCACGCCCTAGGCATGATGCATGGTTCGTAAGAGTCGAAGAGCGAAAAATCTTCAACTTACTTACCAGACTGGCCTAGGGAGGCCCTGCCAACGAAACGACTAAGCTTGCTGCTGCCTAAAATGAAAGCGCACTTTTCTGTCCGCTGCCGAGTTAGTCGCGCATTAACGACCAGGCGGCCAGACGACCGGGCCAACTTTGGGCCGTCATCCTGCAGGCTACAAATAGGGCCTGCTTGGAATGCAAAAATTGCCAGAAGATAGGCAAGTCCCTTGTTGGCCTCAGCAAACATGATGCAGTATCATGAGAAGTAGTTTGGTCGAGCTTAATCATAGCTAAACAATATAGTATTTTCAGGCAAGTGTACACTACTGTGTGTATAATGCGTGCACGAGTGCATATTAGTGTTTACTTATAGACCTGTTAGTGTGTATCTTAATGCACTTGTGTACATGCAATCATACATTTAAAGGCATATACAAATGTGCCTTAAAATTCTTATCTTACCGTTCACGTATTTTTGTGTTTGCTTGCATATGTGTGTTTGCGCTGTGTGCATTTCTT